TCCATCCAGTGTACAGTGAGTCCAGCCCAGTCTACACAGTGAGTCCATCCAGTCTACACAGCGAGTCCATCCAGTCTACACAGCGAGTCCATCCAGTCTACACAGTGAGTCCAGCCAGTCTACAGTGAGTCCAGCCAGTCTACACAGCGAGTCCATCCAGTCTACACAGCGAGTCCAGCCCAGTCTACAGTGAGTCCAGCCAGTCTACACAGTGAGTCCAGCCAGTCTACACAGTGAGTCCAGCCAGTCTACAGTGAGTCCAGCCAGTCTACACAGCGAGTCCATCCAGTCTACACAGTGAGTCCAGCCCAGTCTACAGTGAGTCCATCCAGTCTACACAGCGAGTCCATCCAGTCTACACAGTGAGTCCAGCCAGTCTACACAGCGAGTCCAGCCCAGTCTACAGTGAGTCCAGCCCAGTCTACACAGTGAGTCCAGCCAGTCTACACAGTGAGTCCAGCCAGTCTACAGTGAGTCCAGCCAGTCTACACAGCGAGTCCATCCAGTCTACACAGTGAGTCCAGCCCAGCCTACACAGTGAGTCCAGCCAGTCTACAGGGAGTCCAGCCCAGTCTACACAGTGAGTCCATCCAGTCTACACAGTGAGTCCATCCAGTCTACACAGTGAATCCAGCCCAGTCTACACAGCGAGTCCAGCCCAGTCTACACAGTGAGTCCAGCCCAGTCTACACAGTGAGTCCAGCCCAGTCTACACTGTGAGTCCATCCAGTCTACACAGCGAGTCCATCCAGTCTACACAGTGAGTCCAGCCAGTCTACACAGCGAGTCCAGCCCAGCCTACACAGTGAGTCCAGCCCAGTCTACACAGTGAGTCCAGCCAGTCTACACAGTGAGTCCAGCCAGTCTACACAGCGAGTCCATCCAGTCTACACAGCGAGTCCATCCAGTCTACACAGTGAGTCCATCCAGTCTACACAGTGAGTCCAGCCAGTCTACAGGGAGTCCAGCCAGTCTACAGGGAGTCCAGCCCAGTCTACACAGTGAGTCCAGCCAGTCTACACAGTGAGTCCAGCCAGTCTACACAGCGAGTCCATCCAGTCTACACAGGGAGTCCAGCCAGTCTACAGTGAGTCCATCCAGTCTACACAGTGAGTCCATCCAGTCTACACAGTGAGTCCATCCAGTGTACAGTGAGTCCAGCCCAGTCTACACAGTGAGTCCATCCAGTCTACACAGCGAGTCCATCCAGTCTACACAGTGAGTCCAGCCAGTCTACACAGTGAGTCCAGCCAGTCTACAGTGAGTCCAGCCAGTCTACACAGCGAGTCCATCCAGTCTACACAGTGAGTCCAGCCCAGTCTACAGTGAGTCCAGCCCAGTCTACACAGTGAGTCCAGCCAGTCTACACAGTGAGTCCAGCCAGTCTACAGTGAGTCCAGCCAGTCTACACAGCGAGTCCATCCAGTCTACACAGTGAGTCCAGCCCAGCCTACACAGTGAGTCCAGCCAGTCTACAGGGAGTCCAGCCCAGTCTACACAGTGAGTCCATCCAGTCTACACAGTGAGTCCATCCAGTCTACACAGTGAATCCAGCCCAGTCTACACAGCGAGTCCAGCCCAGCCTACACAGTGAGTCCAGCCCAGTCTACACAGTGAGTCCAGCCAGTCTACACAGTGAGTCCAGCCAGTCTACACAGTGAGTCCAGCCAGTCTACACAGTGAGTCCAGCCAGTCTACACAGTGAGTCCATCCAGTCTACACAGTGAGTCCAGCCAGTGTACAGTGAGTCCAGCCAGTCTACAGGGAGTCCAGCCCAGTCTACACAGTGAATCCCGCCCAGCCTGCATAGTGAGTCCAGGCCAGCCCCAGAAGCCAGAGCGATCCCATCTCAAAAACAGAACAGAACAACAGCAATTAACTCGCCGAGAAAAACGTACAAAGGAAAAGAAAACTGCTGGTGTCCCCTGCCCGGTAAACAAGTGGCCTTGAGAGTTGCTTCCTGCTCTGTTCACTCCCTCATGTGGAGAAGGCGGGACTCAGTGACCGCAAACCGCACCAGAGCCAGAGGTGGCAGAGGAGAGGCCCCTCCCCCTGAGTAACCTGCTCCAGGTCTCATTTCCCCGCCTTCGTTCTGCCCCTCTCCTATCTGGAATGTTCTTCCCACAGAAGGGAGGGACATCAGGGCATGGTTGCTGCGGCTGTCTGTGTGGCTGGCAGAGCCCAGGACTGCGCCTCTTGCCGGGCCCCTCCCCCGGATTCAGGGAAATGGCTGAAGCGGTCTTTGCTGCCTGCCCTGTGCAGCCGGGGAGCTCCCTACTCTCAACTGGGCTCCCCTAAGCCTGGGCCTTCCTAAATGAGGTCCACACCCCTCTCCCCCGTACGCACCCTTCCCTGGCCCGCAGGAACAAGCTCACAGTGGGAACTAGTTCGCCTGGGCAGCTGGGCTGGCTGCCTGGTCTCTGAAGCGTCTTTGCCCGCTGTGAAGGCACGTAGAGGGAGCTCCATCGCCTGCGCCCAGGACCCTCCCCCCAGAACTTAGTGGCCCCCCACCCCAGTTGCTGCACTGTATTGTCTAGGGAAGGAATGCCTTCCCATGGCATCTGACGCTGGGCCTCCCGCGAGCTCCTGCCGCCAGGGTCCCTGGGGGAGGACGGGACACAGCGGGAACCGCTCTGGGAGCCCTGTTCCCCGTCATACCCTTCCTTCGTATGCCCTGCTCTTCTCTCAGCCTCACGGCGCCTGACCCTGGGACTGCCGTCTGATTCGCATAGAGCCTGCCTGGCCCGAGAGCTGGAAGGAGTAGGTGTGTCTCCCCGCCAGTGGGCGTGACAGAAGTGGCTGGAAGTTCACGTTGCTTCAGCTTGGGTCCTTGCTTAGAGGGACAGTCTGGGGGTGCGGCCTTACCCATGAGCAGACTCTACATTCAGTCCCAAGCAACTGCAGAAGTGGCGGCTGCGTCTGGGCTTGTGCATGGCAGGTAGGGGGTGCGCTCTTCAGTTCAGGAGCAGCAGGGCCTAGCACAGAGCTCTCAAGCCTAGGCTGGTGGTGTCCTCTGTAGGGTGTAGAAAGAGGCCCAGAGATCTCAGTGAGTTCGAGGCCAGCCTGGTCTACAAAGTGAGTTCCAGGACAGCCTCCAAAGCTACAGAGAAACCCTGTCTCGAAAAACCAAAAAAAAAAAAAAAAAGAGGCCCAGAGACAGCCATTCCAGACCCACAGGCATGATTTCAGGTTCTGGATAAAGCTCCTTAAAGAGGCCGGGTGGTGGTGGCGCACACCTTTAATTCCAGCGCTTAGGAGGCAGAGGCAGGCGGATCTTTGTGAGTTTGAGGCCAGCCTGGTCTACGAGTAAGTTCTAGGACAGCCAGAGCTACACAGAGAAACTGCCTCAAAGCTTGCTAAAGAAACAGCTTCTGCCTGGAAGGAAGCTGGGTCAAGGATGTCACTATGCACAAAAGAAAATGCCAGTGCTTGAAGGATAACCCTAGAAGGGGCCCCAAGCCCAGCACACAAGACGCTGCGTGCTTTCAGGTGTGGAAAGAAGGGTTTACACAAACCTGGAGGAAGGACGATCCCGGAGGGACGGACAGACAGTTACCCAGGGCAACTGCAGAAATGGTGTGGTCATGTCTGCCTGTGGGGTGACCCAGAAGCTGGCCCCGTCTCTGTGCGTGGTGGGCAAGGGGTGTGTCGTGGAGGCTGAACTAGTCTGCTCAGAGAAAGGTCTGTTTCCTCCCTGGAGAGCACAGAGCCAAGCAGGGACAGAGAGCCCGGGCGGGCGAGAGCTTCTGTGCTCAACCCTTCACAGACGCCTGAACATAGCTGTCACCTGACTGAGAGTGGTATCTCTGAAACGGCAGCCGCGGGTCGCCACTGCTCCACAACACGCTGACAGTGTGGGGACCCTGTGCCGACCAGACAGACATCTGTCAGGACCTTAAGTGCACACACCCTTTCTGCAGCTCCGGCCTGGCAGGGCCTGGTGCCTTGGAGCGCTGGTGGTGCCATTCGTAAATGATCTGAAACTGGGCATTCTTCCTCCAGGCACTGGGCGTGAGCGTCCATGCTCCCCCCCTCCCCCCAGGGACTCCATTGGCTTCAAAGAAAGGCAGCCTGCATAGGTGGCCTGCCCTGGCTAACCGGAAGCATTAGGGAGAGATGTCAGCTGGGCGGGGGTGGTGCCCACCTTTAATCCCAGCACTCTGGAGGCAGAGACAGGTCAGTCTGTGAGTTCAAGGCCAGCCTGGTCTACAGAGCGAGTTCCAGAACAGCCAGGGCTACACAGAGAAACCTAGTCTTGGGGTGGGGTGTCAGCAACAGTGTGCCTTGGGCTGTCACATGTGTCACCTCACAACTCCAGCCTCCGGGAAATGGCAGCAGTGGCCTGGAGAAGGGTCGCTGTGGCAGAGCCAGCAGGAAGCACTGAATTCCTTTTTAGACTTTACTCCACTGGGGGCGCCAGTGAGCAGAGTGCGTGCCTATCTATCGTGCACGGGCTCTGGCCTGAGTCTCCAGCACGGTGAAACCCTGGCCTGGGGTCGCACACCTCTTACCCCTGCACAGGGGGATAGAAGAAAAAGATCAGAGTTCAAGATGAGCTCTGACCTCACAAAATGCACGCATTTACACTGGACATGGTGGCGCACGCCTTTAATCTGGCATTCGGGAGCAGAGGCAGGGGGATCTCTGTGAGTTACAGGCTGGGTCTACAAAGTGAGAGAAACCTGCCTCAAACAACAAAACGAAACTAAAAATACACAGAAGCTTCTGGTGGATGTGACAGTGGGACAGCCTCGTGGGTGCAGGTGTGGAGTCACGCTGCCACCAGAAACGTACATTCTAGAAAATTCTGACGGCCGGGTGCCTGCGCTTTCTCATACTGCGTGACCAAGATTGACAGAGATGCTGGCGTGATTGTGACCGTGAGGGCAGTTAGCCCATGAGAGCAGCACTTAGGAGGCAGGCGTGTGGGCCGCCAGCTGGTCTGACAGGACGCCAGGCTTCCGTGTAGGAAGAACCTAATGTTTTCTTCTCTCTCTCAGGGGTCAAATGTGATGGAAGAGCAAGACCTGAGGGAGATTGGCATCAGCGACCCTCAGCACCGGCGGAAGCTGCTGCAGGCTGCACGCTCCCTGCCCAAGGTGACCACGCCCGGGCCCCGCCGTCTTCTTGAATTCCTAAACCAGTGGTTCCCAACATGTGGGTTGTGACGCCTGGGGGTCAAATGGCCCTTTCATAGGGGTCACACATCATATATCCTGCGTATCAGATAAATCTATATTTGATTCACAACAGCGCCAAAATTACATGTATGAAATAGCAGCAAAATCATATTATGGTTGGGGTCACCACAACATAGGAACTGTGTGAAAGCATTAGGAAGGGTGAGAAACGCTGACCTAGAGTAAAAGCGGGAAAGAAACCAGACTGAGGCGTGTAGATTCGTCCTTGTCAGCCCTCATACGAGCCCGCAGGGCACGGGGTCTTGGTTCCTTCCTTGTAAAGCCCTCAGGCCCTTGGAGAGTACCAGGAATGCAGGGGTAACCAGTGTCGTGTCTGACTGAGCGAGGAGGGTCTAGGATCCTCTTGGCACAGAGTCTAGTCCCATAGGCTTGGCCTGTCACCATCGGCCCCTTTGGAGTCTCATTTGACTCATCAGAGACCAGGCTAGCCTATCTTGACTCCAGAGAGGCCTGAGAGGAGCAGACATGAAAGGCAGCAGCACTGGGTTCTCTGAGGCCGCAGCCTCCACCCTTGACTGTAGACGCCGTGGCCGGTGTCCACCCTTGACTGTAGGCGCCGTGGCCGGTGTCCACCCTTGACTGTAGACGCCGTGGCCGGTGTCCACCCTTGACTGTAGGCGCCGTGGCCGGTGTCCACCCTTGACTGTAGGCGCCGTGGCCGGTGTCCACCCTTGACTGTAGGCGCCGTGGCCAGTGTCCACCCTTGACTGTAGACGCCGTGGCCGGTGTCCACCCTTGACTGTAGACACAATGGCCGGTGTCCACCCTTGACTGTAGACGCAATGGCCAACGTCCACCCTTGACTGTAGACACAATGGCCAACGTCCACCCTTGACTGTAGACGCAATGGCCGGTGTCCACCCTTGACTGTAGACGCAATGGCCGGTGTCCACCCTTGACTGTAGGCGCTGTGGCCAGTGTCCACCCTTGACTGTAGACACAATGGCCGGTGTCCACCCTTGACTGTAGACACAATGGCCGGTGTCCACCCTTGACTGTAGACACAATGGCCAGTGTCCACCCTTGACTGTAGACGCCGTGGCCGGTGTCCACCCTTGACTGTAGGCGCTGTGGCCGGTGTCCACCCTTGACTGTAGACACAATGGCCAACGTCCACCCTTGACTGTAGACACAATGGCCGGTGTCTCACGCAGAGTTCGGGAAGTGACTGCTTGATAGGCACACACTAAACTCTTGTCCTCACGAGCCTGTGGCCGTTCTGTCACCCCTCCTCTGCATCTTGCCTCACCTGTTGGCCCCTCCTCCCCAGATCAGTAGCCCCTACCCCTCAGAGCGGTGATGGGCTGTGCCAAGGAGGGGCTCAGGGTAGCCCTTGGCTCCCGTGTCCTTGCTCTGTGACTAAGGGCTGCCGTCCCTGCCTCCTCACACCGCAGGTGAAGGCTCTTGGCTATGATGGGGTCAGCCCCCCGACGGTGCCCTCCTGGTTGGACTCGCTGGGGCTGCAGGACTACGTCCACTCCTTCCTGTCCAGCGGCTACAGCTCCATTGATGCTGTGAAGAACCTCTGGGAGCTGGAGCTCGTCAACGTGAGTTCACCCGGGAGGAAGCTGGGGCAGCAGGGGCTGAGGGGCCAGCTCCACTCACCGCTCCCCTGTTCTCCGCCAGGTCCTCAAGGTTCACCTGCTGGGCCACCGGAAGCGCATCATTGCTTCTCTTGCAGAAAGGCCCTATGAGGAGCCACCCCAGAAGCCCCCGAGGTTTTCCCAGCTAAGAGTGAGTTCAGGGAGGGCGAAGGTCCCCGGGTGTACTGTGTTTCAGTCCTGGTGACAAGCCTGGGGATTTCACCCGTTTCTTGCCCAACAGTGCCAGGATTTAATCTCCCAGACATCGTCCCCGCTGAGCCAGAACGAGTCCTGTACAGGGCGGTCGGCAGACCTGCTGCTGCCCTCGGTGGAAACGAGCAGGAGGCGTCATGACAGCCCGTACGACCCTGGGGCAGCCTGCCGGGCAGAGCACTTCAGAGTCCAGGTGAGCAGGGCGTCAGAGCCCGCAGGGGCCACCATCTGCGGCTCTCCTGGGGCGTGGTCTTCCTGTCTAGCCCTGCGGGCCCTTGGTCACCGCCATGGTCCCCGGAACTTTCTTCTCTGTAGCTGAAAGCTCCTTGTCCTCTGCCACCAACCCTGCAGAACCACTGCCGGGTCACTGTGTCCTGTGCTGCTACCGTTCTTAGACTCGTGGGCTCAGATATCTTCATGCTCCGCTGTGATTGCACTGTGGGCTCAGCCTTTGGAGCCCTGCCCTCACCTCACCCCACCTCACCTCACCCCACCCCACCTCACCCCACCCTCACCCCACCCCACCTCACCCCACCTCACCTCACCTCACCCCACCCTCACCCCACCTCACCTCACCTCACCTCACCTCACCTCACCTCACCCTCACCTCACCCTCACCTCACCCCACCTCACCCCACCTCACCCCACCTCACCTCACCTCACCTCACCTCACCCTCACCTCACCCCACCTCACCCCACCTCACCCCACCTCACCTCACCCCACCACACCTCACCTCACCTCACCCCACCTCACCCCACCTCACCTCACCTCACCCCACCTCACCCCACCTCACCCCACCCCACCTCACCCCACCTCACCCCACCCCACCTCACCCCACCTCACCTCACCCTCACCTCACCCCACCTCACCCCACCTCACCTCACCCCACCTCACCTCACCTCACCCTCACCTCACCCCACCCCACCTCACCCCACCCTCACCTCACCTCACCTCACCCCACCTCACCTCACCTCACCTCACCTCACCCCACCTCACCTCACCCCACCTCACCCCACCTCACCTCACCTCACCCCACCTCACCTCACCTCACCCCACCTCACCTCACCCTCACCTCACCTCACCCCACCTCACCTCACCTCACCCCACCTCACCCCACCTCACCTCACCCCACCTCACCTCACCTCACCCCACCTCACCCTCACCTCACCCCACCCCACCCCACCTCACCCCACCCTCACCCCACCCCACCTCACCCCACCTCACCTCACCCCACCCCACCTCACCTCACCCTCACCTCACCCCACCTCACCTCACCTCACCCCACCTCACCCCACCTCACCTCACCTCACCCCACCTCACCTCACCCTCACCTCACCCTCACCTCACCCTCACCTCACCTCACCTGACCTCACCTCACCCCACCTCACCTCACCTCACCCCACCTCACCTCACCCTCACCTCACCCTCACCTCACCTCACCCCACCTCACCTCACCCCACCTCACCTCACCTCACCTCACCTCACCCTCACCTCACCCCACCCCACCTCACCCCACCTCACCCTCACCCCACCTCACCCCACCTCACCCTCACCCTCACCTCACCCCACCCCACCTCACCCTCACCTCACCTCACCCTCACCCCACCTCACCCTCACCTCACCCTCACCTCACCTTACCCTCACCTCACCTTACCCCACCTTACCTCACCCTCACCTCACCTCACCCTCACCTCACCTCACCTCACCTGACCTCACCCCACACTCATCCAGCGCTTGCCCTTGTGTCCCGCCTTCCCAGGCTCTGGCTCTGCGCCTTGCTGCTGAACTCTGACACCCTGCACACTGGCCAGGTCACTAGGTGTCTCCCTGTCCCCTCCCCGCCCCCCTCCTTCCCACAGCACAGCTGTGGATTTTACAGACTTGAGCGCTGCCCAGTTATTAGTTCTCTGGATTCTGCACATGGTGGGAGCAGAAACCTGAGCTCCCCTGAAGTGTGTCTCCATCCCCCACATGACGCTTTCCCGAGCCAGTTGGCAGCAGAGGTCCATTTAAATTCATCCTGTGCCCAAGACCCGAGGAAGCCGAGGACGCAGCTGCGTGGCTTCAGCCGCTGCTCTTCATGCCGAATGCTGCCCACGGCTTCTGTCTCCGGCACAGTCCGCTGTGAGCAAGCTCCTGTCTCACGCCCAGAGCTCTTCCTGGGTGCTTGCCCCGGGGCCGCCTCCCCGGGCCCCTGCCGAGTCCCCGGCTCCCCACTCCGGGGTGCGCTGAGGCAGACCGGAGCCCGTGAGCAGTGTCCAACTGTGTGCGTTCTGCAGGAGGAGCCCGGCGAGGCCAGGCTGACCCTCCGTCCGCCCAGCCTGGCTGCCCCCTATGCGTCCGTGCAGAGCTGGCAGCACCAGCCAGAGAAGCTCATCTTTGAATCCTGCGGTTACGAGGCCAACGTGAGTCGCCCCTGCCCTCCCGGGACGGCCAGCCTCCCTTCCTACCTGGCCTCTCCCTTCCTACCTGGCCTCTGCCAGCCCTCAGGTCACAGGGCGGGACCGGGACCCAGCGGCCAACCTCTGCTGGGCTGGGGGAGGGAGCCGTGACCCGCGGCAGGAGAGAAGAGTGGGCCGGGCCCTGTGTGGCAGGCGGCACAGGCGTCCCTAAGCCCGCCCTCTGCCCGCCCTCACAGTATCTGGGCTCCATGCTGATCAAAGACCTGCGAGGGACAGAGTCCACACAAGACGCCTGTGCCAAAATGCGGGTAAGGAGCTGGAGAGACGGCTCCACAGAGACCCAGGCCCGAGAATTCGATGCCCTCATCTGACTTCCCGGGTCCCTGGCAAGCACATGCTGACAGACGCCCAGGCCAAACAACCGCATAAATAACACGGAAATGAAAAGGGAAGGTGTGGGTCTGTGGGAGGTGTCCGACTAGAGCAGCAAGCGGGAATGCCAGCTACAGCTGCCCGGCCTGACCACACCGGGGCGGGGGGGGGGGGCGTGAAACCGGGGCACGCACCCTTAGCCCGCCCCACACCCTTACAGAGGTCGACCGAGCACATGAAGAAGATCCCCACCATCATCCTGTCCATCACATACAAAGGGGTCAAGTTCATCGATGCTTCCAACAAGGTATGCTTCCCGTGAGCGCTGCTGGCAGGCGCGTGAGACTGTGTCCCCTGTGACCAGACACCTGAGAGGAACCCACCTGAGCTGCAGAAGGGCCGGTGCACGCTCACCCGCCCGCCCCGGTGTTTCTGGGCCTGTGGTGAGGAGACAGGGAAGGCCAGGACACGCCTCCACAGCCTCCTAAGTAGCACTGCCAGGCTAGACCAGCCTTCAACACGCGGTCCGCGGGGCGGGGCGGGGGCAGATAGACTCTTTCCTAACTAGCATCCCGCCCCAGCCCCAGGCAGCTCAAGACCTTCAAGTAATGCAGCCGCATCTATCTCGTCCGCTCTAAGCATCCACCGGCTCTTACGGTAATGCAGATGCGTCTGGTCCGCTCCAGGCATCCTCTGAGCTCTGACAGTCGTAGCACTTCTCCACAGGACAAGTTCAAAGTCTCCTGAGAGTCACAGGGTCTCTCTATGTAGCCCCGGCCGTCCTGGAACTCACTGTGAAGGCCAGACTGGCCGCGAGCACACAGAGAACTGCCCCCCAAGTGCTGGGATTAAAACACGAGCCACCACGCCCAGCTTCAAAGCAAACCTAACTGTGAGTCCCTATAAAAATCAGAAACTAGGACTGAAGAGAAGCTAAGTGGGTAAGAACACTGGGAGATCCAGGTTCAAATCTTAGCATCCACGTGGCGGCACAAGACCATTTGTAACTCCACTTCCAGGGAACTCTGACGCCCTCTTCTGGCCTCAACAGGCACCAGGCACGCGTGTGGTGCACAGACATGCACACAGGCAAAACTCCATGCACATAAAATAAATACTTTTGAATAAAAATTTGAAATAATAAAACTCAGAAAACAGATTATGTGCCCCTGAGATAACAAATGACGCAGAATAAAAGTTTTCACTATAAAAGAAAGAAATGAATTTAGCAAAGGAAGATCAGACTAAAGCAAACAAGAGCCCAGGGAGGTGAGGGATGGCATCTGGTCACGTGTGTGGTGCCGTGAGGGCTCGGGAAGCCCTGCTATTCAGCTCTTGCCTCTTTCTTTAGTCTTAGCTGGCTCTGGCCACTGCTCCCAGCTGTCCTTGGGAAACACCCATGTCCCTGGTTCCTGCAGTTTCCTGAGTCTCCATCGGTTTCATCTTCGTAGCTTCTCGAGTTTCCCTCTCGAGACTTCCCACGAGGCTCCTGATGCTGGCACACACTGCCTTTGAAGTTGGATGCAAGCCTCCCTGACCCTGTAACCTTTGCATCCTTCCTGCCAGCAACACCAGCATCCCGTGGGTGATGCCGGGGCAGCTGTCCACTAAAGGAGTGGCTGGGCGCTAGACCCCGGCCGTGGCAGGCTCGAGTACTTGGGTGGTTAAACGTGGTCAGACGAAATCCAGGGAAACACCTTCCTAGGTGGCCCGGCCCAGGCAGAGCACTCGAGAGACGGAAAACGCGTTGACTCTTCCGTACTCTTGCGTTTCCGTGGGTTGGGTCCACCCAAGGCCCAGACTGTCTCCAAAGCCAGTCCCCTGTTGTAGTGGCTCCCGTTCAGTGCTGCTGCTGTCTCCTTGGGCCAGCTTCATCGGGCAGGGACAGGACGGAGCCAACTTCTTCGTCACAGTGAGATGTGAGGCCCAGTCTGGTCCCGTCCCCAGCAGATCCTCATGAGCAGTCTCTCCCGTCCCTACGCCCCGGCCATTGAGCCGCCTCCACAATTTCCAGCAAGCTCTGCTGGTTGCATCTTACTAGCTCTCCACCCCACATCCGCAAACTCCTCAGACATCTTCGCGAAGGTGCGAGAACCGTGTTGTCAGGTTAGCTTTCCATTGCTGTGACCGAGCGACTGCCCAAGAACCAGCCCAGAGCGCAGAGGCCTCAGGACGGAGGCGTGTCAGAGGAAGCTAGCCTGCGGTGGGCAGGGGACGGTGAGGAGGGCCAGGCAGGGATAACCACCCAGAGCAGGCCCCGCCCGCCTCCCAAATTTCCAGCACCTTCTGGAAGTGTCCAGCGCTTGAACCTGTGAAGCACTTCCTGTCCGAAGGGCAGCACTGAGCAGGGCTGTCTCACTGTCAGGCCCCTGGGACTCCTCCTTCAACCTGCTGCTCCTTGCCCTGGAATCCGACGTCTGTCCCAGCTGTGGTGACAGTTGCTCGCCTTGTCTTTGCCCTGGCCTCGGTGGTTCCTTCAGGGTCCACCTCCTGAGCGTGCTCTCCTGCCCGCCGGTGGGGCGTGTGCGTGCCTGTTGGCCGTGGTCAGGGAAGAGGGGATTCCAGGCTGGTAAAAGGCTGGCGTTGGTAATCCTAGAGGCATGCCCTGTGGGGACCGTGAGCTCAGAACACGTTTTTCCCGGCAGAATGTCATTGCTGAGCACGAGATCCGAAACATCTCTTGCGCCGCGCAGGACCCGGAGGACCTGTGTACCTTTGCCTACATCACCAAGGACCTGCAGACCAGCCACCACTACTGCCACGTTTTCAGCACAGTGGATGTGGTGAGTGTCCCCGTGGCAACAGTGACCCCGGCCCTCGAGGGGCCGGTCATCCTGTGGCTGGGTGGGGGTCGGGGCTGGCCTAGCCCTAGCAGACAGATGGAAGCCCGGCAGTGTCCAGTGCAGCCCTCCTCACGGCCAGCGGCGCCCAGAGGCAAGCACCGTAGTGTTTCCGGGTGGAACAGGCCCTTAGTCACGCCGCTGCCCCGGCTCCCCAAGCTGCTGGTGGTGGTATACTCCTGGCTTCTGCTCACCCAACAGAGAGTGCCTGTGTTCAGCTCTCTGGGGCTTCCTCCACACAGATGCTGCAGGAAGTCTTTGCAGCCCTGGACCGTGGCAGCAGACGCCCAGGTTTACCCCGGTAGCTCATGATGGAGAAGGTTGTCTCCTCCCCTCTGGGCTGCACTCAAGATTACTTGGCATTAGCCAGCGGCTCCTCACCTGTGGCTCATGGAGTCGCACGGGCTCCTAATCTCCGTGCTGCATACACCACAGGCCAGTGGGCTCCAGGTTTCCAGGCACGGGGTGCGGACACACCCTGCTCCTTATGCACCTCAATCACTAGCACTCCACCTTGGGAAGAGAGCCAGCCAGGGAAGACCGGGAGTGGCATTGTCCCCGAGACTTCGGGGTCGACGCAGGTGTCTCTCTTACGTCAGCAGCTTAACTGGCTTTTGCAGTCACCTGGTGTTTGAAGCAGAGTCAGCCCTAAGGAAGCTAAATGTGTAAAACTGCCTCACTTGAAACCACTTTGAAACAAACTTGTCGGGTGTTTCGTTTTTTGGTTTTCCAAGACTGGCCCTGACTGTTCTGGAACTCGCTCTGTAGACCAGGCTGACCTCGAACTCACAGAGATCCCTATGCCTGGCCCTGCCTCCGGGTGCTAGGATTAAAGGCGTGCACCACCACTGCCAGGCTTAAATTTGCGGTGTTTTTTTAAAAGATTTATTATGCATACAGTGTTCTGCCTGCAGGCCAGAAGAGGGCGCCAGATCTCATTACAGGTGGTTGTGAGCCACCATGTGGGTGCTGGGAATTGAACTCAGGACCTCTGGAAGAGCAGTCAGTGCTCTTAACCTCTGAGCCCTCTCTCCAGCCCCCTAAATTTGCGTTTTCAAAAAGAAAGGGTTTCCTGCTGGCTGCGAGGAGCTGCTCAGGGACACTCTGCTTCTTCCTAGAACCTTACCTACGAGATCATCCTGACCTTGGGGCAGGCATTTGAGGTGGCCTACCAGCTGGCCCTTCAGGCCCAGAAATCCAGGACCATGGGGGCCTCTGCGGCTGCGACGATTGAGACAAAGTCTTCCAAGCCGGTGCCTAAGCCTCGGGTCGGCGTGAGGAAGTCTGCAGTAAGTGCCTCCCTCACCCGCAAGGCACCCCGGGCTTGGGCGGGGCCGGGCAAATGTCTTCTCACCTCGGCAGTTGCCCCAGTGAAGCAGCCCTGGGCTCCTCGGGCAGGAGGGCCTTGTCTCCCCTTGTCAGGGCACGGTCTCTGGGGCTGCTGCGCACGCCGACAGCAAGCACCCGGTGACAGCCCCCCCCCCCCCCCCCCGTCTGTCTGCTTTGCTCTGCGCCCCAGGTGCCGGTGCCCCCCGATCCTCGCTGTTGTCACTGTCACTCCTGCTCCACCCACCGTCCTTCCTACCTACCGCTGCCGTCTCTTAGTCCTGGAGTCAAGGTCTTTCCGCCTCCCGCTGTCTGTGTGTCGCTCTCTGAAGCGCCCGTGAGCTGTCTCTCCTCCTGGTGGCCTCGTGCCCGGCCTGTGCGGCGCTCATGCTCCCCCCTGTGCTCTGCCCTTTGTCTTTGTCCTGTGTCGTCTGCCAGGGTCTGGGTTGAGTGTGGTGGTCTCGCCTCAGGCTGAGCTCTTCTGCCCAGCAGAGGGACCAGGGGCTGGGGCTGCTGGGCATCCGTCCCCGTCCTGCGCACGCGGCCCGACTGAAGCTTAGAGCGTGAGCTCTGGTGGGCAGGGCTCCTCTTCCTGAGTCGCTCAGGGTTCCTGGAGGTGCCCGTCCTCCTCCCGCCGACAGGTGCGCTGTGCCTGGGCTTTGAGTCCTAACCCCGTCTCCTTCTCCGGCAGCTGGAACCACCGGATCCGGACCAGGAGCTCCCATCCCACGCCAGTGTTTCCTGGATCGTGGACCCGAAGCCGGACTCGAAGCGGAGCCTCAGCACCAAGTATGAGACCACTATCTTCTAAAGAGCCACCCTGTGTCCTCTACCCCACTGTGCCTTTGCGGCCCGCCCGCCCGCCCGCCCGCGTGTTCTGCTGTCTCAACTCTCCTTCCGGCTGTCGCCACCAGGGCCCCACCTCCTGGGACCTGCCCTCCTGCCGCAGTTGTAGACATTCCTCCAGTCACGGCTCCTGCTAACACCCAACACTGTGACTCCTCCCTTTGGGCTCAGGACAGCTGGGGTGACTTGCCTTTCAAGGGGGGGTGCCGGGAGGGTTCTGAGGCCCCCAAAGCCTCGGCACTGGGAGGTGAGGAGTGGGTAGTTCCCAGCGGGACCCCGAGAGCCCCTGCAAGGCTGCTTTCCTCTCCCGGGTCCCAGCTGCATGGTAAATGCCACCAGTTTGCACCTTTGCTGAGCCACCCCCACTGTGCCCACCCAGAGCCGGGCGGCCCGCGCGCACAGCCCTCTCAGGTGCTGCTTTCTCCCCTGGTCAGGCCCCCCTGACGTGGCTTCACCAGGGACAGACTTTCTGTAGGGGCCAAGGTTGGTGCCAGCCACACCCGCACGGCACGTGTCCCAACAGCGGGTTCCTAAGGGACCTGTGTGTGTTTGGCCCCTTTCTGTGCCGTGGGCCCTGGATCGGGAGTCCGGCTCACCGAGGCGAGCCTGCGAGCCTGCGCACGAGCGCGCCTTCTTCCTTCTCGGAGTGGAGCCGCCCGTGCGCAGGCGGAGGCTGCAGCGTCCTCATACTCCCTGCGGTGGTGGGGACCTGCGACAGCCGGCCCGGCACCCACCCAGGCCTCCATCATGGAGCTGGATCCTGTCCTGAGGTGGGGAGATCAGTCTAGGTGGCAGGAGAGAGACGAGCGGATGCCTGTAGCCGTGGTGCCCACGGTGTGGCGGGAGTCAGTCAGCACCCCGCTGTCCGCCGGGACTGGCCCTGCCTGCCCGTCCTTGCGCCTTCCTGAGCGGATGGGCCGGGAGCAGCAGTGGGCAGCGAGCCTAGGCTGCGGAGGGCGGGGCGCTCGCTGGGGGCGGGGCCTTTCTGCTGCGTCCTCTCCCTTCCCTCCACCTTGCCCCGGCGCCTGGTTTAACTCTTTCCCCCCGTTGTTTGCTTCTGCCAAGCTGAGCCACTGAGGAGCCACACTGTGTGCTGCGGAGACATAGATGGGGGGCGCACAGGCTCCTCCCCCCAGCACCGAGCGCCTCGCCCTCAGCTCTGAAGACCCAGGCCCCGCCCTGCCGTAGGACCTCCCTTCAGCTGCTCGGCCTGGGCCCGCCGCCGCCTGCAGAACAAACCCCGCCATGGAGGCAGAGAAGACGCCAGGCATCCAGCCGAGGGGACCATAACTCTGGGCGGCCCAAGAGTGGCCTGTCCAGGACGTGTGTTTTTAATAGGGAAAGTAATCTTTTATATATATATATATAATATATAAATTTTTAACACCTGGCTCCAGCTTCTGGGTAAAAGCTGCCAATCAAGGACACAGTAACAGACTGGCGGAACCTCATCTGTAAAGCCCTCTGCCTCGGGGTGCGGTCTCAGCCTGGGGGTGGCTTGGGGCAGAGTTGAGACTTCAGTCTTTTGTTCCCAGCTAGAGCTGGACTGGGGCGGTGACACTTGGACCAGAGCAGAAGTTTCTGGGGCTCCAAATGGGGGATAAGCAAGTAGTTTGTGGTGCAGGGAACTCCTTGGTACTCTGTTAGCACTGCCCAAGGCAGCTGTCCCGTGTTGGTGGCAGAAGTGGCTTGGTTGGGGGCATTAGTGGGACGCAGTAAGACCTCAGCTGGCTCTTGTGTGCGGGTAGGTCAGGTGACAGTCAGTGACAAGCTGGTGTTCCTTGAACCCTTGTGCTAGCTTACTTTGCTTTTTAAGGTGACGTGGGTGGGTGGCGGTCATCTTCCTGGGCTTAAGGAACAATGAGGACCAGAGTGCTGGGGAACAGGGACCGAGCCAGGCCGGCCACTCACCAGCGCTTCTGGAGTAGGGAGCAAAGAGGCGGCCTGGGCCCGTGGGTACCTAGGCAGGCTTCGGGCTCTCCTGGCGGCACCCACTCTGGTCCTGGGGACAGAAGGCCAGGCTTGAGCCGTCTGAACTGCAGTCCTGGGCGTGTGCAAGCGGCGCTCCTGGGCACCCTCAGCCTGTGGCTGGTCAGTGCACGCAGCTTTACCTCTCCTGGACCTGGGGGGGGGGTGGACTGCCTGCTGTGTACTTGGCACAGCGGGTGCTCGGGTACAGCTCCTCTCTGGGAAGAAGCCAGTGTCCTCCACGGCTAGGTAGCGGCGACACAGCTTCCTTTCCCTGCCTCGCGCTCAGCCCTGGAAAGCTCCCCTCCGCTCCCACCTTGCGAGAATCCAGGGAGGCCCTTGGTTCCTGGTCAGTTGTGCCGAACACCTTCCTGTCCCCTCCCAGAGGTGAGCTCAGCAGGCTCTGTGTGGGCACAAAGCCAGGCACAGTGTAGACACTACGATGAGCTAGGCTGCAGTGTAGACAGACACTACAGCGACCTCCAGCCTCGCGCTGGCCTGAACTCACAGGCAGGCGTTCCTTCCCTCAGTGCTGCTGGGTCTTATTTATTCGGGTGTCTCTACCAGAGAGTCTCCGGCTTGTCTGCTCTGGGTCTCCTTTCAATACTGGTTTCTGAATATTCCAGAAATTCCTCTTCTGCTCCTCGGGGTGGGTCTCTGCCTTTCAGGACAGGTGCCAAGTGGAGGGGTCTGCCTTTGGCACTCGTGTGAGTCATGCCTCAGTGGCTGGCCGCGGGCCCCGTGTCTGCCTCTAGGGGGTCCTTGAGAAGCCTAGGGTTGAGTGCTACAACATGAGGCTGCAACGTCAAGATGTTTCAGTCAGCTTTATGAGGTGCCTGGACCTGTATTCAGGTCACGGAGTGTTGCTTATGGTGGACAGTGGGACTGGATTGTAAGAAAAATGTTATTTAATCTTTGTTTCCGTATTTTGATACTTGAATGACTTCCCTTTTGTTTTACTGTATATAAAACTGTTAAGCTGTCTGATTTTGTTTGAATTATAAACACCCTGTGGTACCAAACATAACCTGTGCAACCGCATAGACTGACCTCACTACAGAGCGTGCACATCCTGGGCTTCCGGCTCTGTTTGTTAATGCCGTAGCTGGGCAGCTCGGGACAGACTGAGCTAATAAAGGAGAGAGGTGGAAACCAGCCATAGCTCTGGAGTCTCTCAATTGGAAGCTGTTTTTCTGGTGTGAAGTGTGGACAGCAGCGTAGATGCCACTGCAGGTCAGGGACGCGTGTCCTCTGTTTGGCTTGGATGAGTCTGGGAATTCTCCAGTCTAGCAATCTCCAGCAGGTAAACACCAAGGTAGCCCCTAACAGTCAACCCTGTTTGAAGCATCCTTAGGGACGTTGACTGGACAGAGAAGGATGCATGGCCACAGATGTCCATGACGGTGTCCGTACAGAGCGTGGGGTCTAAATCTAAAAGAACTGCTCCCTCCCAGCTGCCTAGCTGGACATGCGCAGCTCACCGCTCAGTCTCCATCGCGGCAAGGCCTTGCTGTGAAAAGCCCTTTCAAGCACACCGTAAAAACTCCCGTGCTCGCCAGGCGGTGGCGGCGCACGCCTTTAATCCCAGCACTAGGGAGGCAGAGGCAGGCGGATCTCTGTGAGTTCGAGGCTGGGCTGGACCGATAGCCTCTGAAACAATACAGAGAAACCCTGTCTCGTAAAAAACAAAAAAAAAAAAAAAAAAAAAACTTCTGTGCTCAGCTGTATGTAAAGCCAAACATCCTAATAGCAAACCGCAAACAATCATAAGAGGAAACAACTGGAATTAATGTTTGTACCACATGAAACAAAGGATGGCTTGATAATAGCTGTCACAAGTCACCAGGGACATCTGCTTCCCTTTGCTAGTACAACTGAAACTCGGGACTGATTAGCAGTGGAGACACCACCTGGACGAAAAGAGGGGATCAGCACTGGAAGAGGCCGTCTCAAAAGGCCTTTGCCTACGCTAGCCAGCCGCTTGCCACAGGGGCGCCCCGGCAGCACCAGGCTCTTCCCGAGGATGGCGGAGTGCTCCCACCCCTCAGTGAGGGGCCACACACCGCCGGAGGAGGAATCTGCGTTCTGCCCCCACGTGCTAGCAGGGCAGTGGGAAAGAGCTGCAGCTCAAACAGCTTTACATAATATTAGGTCCACATTGCAGAAGGAGAGCCACTGGCCAGTCCTCTGTGGGGGCACAAGCCCGCAGCCCCAGCTTTCAGCAGGCTAAGGCAGGAAGGTTTTGGGTGCAGAGCTGCTTGGACTCAGGATGCAGAGAGGGCCAGCCAGACTATCTGGTGGACTGTTTCGAAAAGGAAAATTACTACTAAATAAACCCCTTAGTCCCAGTTTTGACTTGAGACACAAACCTGATGACAGCTGAGCAAACCTGTAATGACAAGCCCAGTGACAGCCTTGCCAAGGTGCCGGCACAGCAGAATCAGATCTCTGAAGAAAACATTTTGGGGAAAGGAGGGTTTCTTCTCTGTGTAGCCTTGGCTGTCCTGGAACTCACTCTAGACCAGGCTGGCCTTGAACTCACTGAGATCCACCTGCCTCTGCCTCCTCATGCTGGGATTAAAGGCGTGTGCCACCACAAGAAAAGCAATTTGAATGACACGGGACTTGTCCTCAGTCCACACAGCTCAGCACAGTGGCACATGTCTTTGTCTTGTAATCCCCAAACTTGGGGAGCTGAGGTAGGTGTACCATGAGGTGAGGTTACTCGGGTTCATGTCATGAGTTCCAGTGTTTCTGGACTACAGTAAGACCCTACACTTCGGCCGGGCGGTGGTGGCGCACGCCTTTAATCCCAGCACTCGGGAGGCAGAGGCAGGAGGATCTCTGTGAGTTCGAGGCCAGCCTGGTCTACAGAGTGAGTTCCAGGACAGCCTCCAAAACAACACAGAAAAACTCTGTCTCAAAAAAAAAAAAAAAGCCCAGAATCCTATGTAGTTGGCATCTTTTGGACCACCAAACACAGGCTTCGAATGCCCAACCTTAGCTTAGGCTTGTCCACCAGCTCTTTTAACTTAACCTGTTTCTCTTCGTCTGTGCTCTGCCCGGGACTTCTTACCTTTCTTTCATTCTGTATGTCCTGCGTTCCTGCTTCTTCCATGTCTGTCTGTCTGGCCCCTGTCATATCCCTGGTGTCTCCTTTTCTTCTAAGAGCCTAAATTCCTCCTCCTACCTACTCTCCCTGCCCAGAAGTCCTCCTGTCCCTCTTCCCTCACTATGGACTGCCCAGGTTTTTTATTGGGCAGGCAAGGTAAATCAACAGCACATCTTTAAACAATGTCACACACCTTTGCAAAAAGCTAAACTAACATCCTGCAACAATTCCACCTCACGAAAAGCAGTGTTCTTCAGGAGTGAACAAGAATCAGGGTGTTTGGGGGTGAGAGAAAATGAAAGAACTTTGTCACCAGAAACTGACCCCAAAAAGCTGGTGGGAAAGGTAGCCAAACAGAAACCTTGGGATAGCAGGAAGGTCAGCCACACAAACACCAACACTTTGATGAGAGGCTCGGCCTCTCCTGCCCTTACCTGTGTAGCAGTCAACGGCGTGGTCCACCAGGGCTCTAAGGGGCACGTGTGGGCACTGGTGCTCTACCCTCGGACTGGGGTCAGGTCATCAGGTTCCTCTGCCGGCTGGGCCATCTCACCATTTTAAGTGTCAGGGACAAAGGGACTCAAAGGGAACACTGAGAGGTCAAGTTTCTGTTATTGAAGTGGTAGATGGTGACTGAGACAAGTCACAAGCAAACTCAAAACTACCTCTTAAAAAAGAAGCTTCGGGGCCGGGCGTCGGTGGCGCACGCCTTTAATCCCAGCACTCGGGAGGCAGAGGCAGGCAGATCTCTGTGAGTTCGAGACCAGCCTGGACTACCAAGCGAGTTCCAGGGCAGCCTCCAAAGCCACAGAGAAACCCTGTCTCGAAAAACCAAAAAAAAAAAAAAAAAAAGGAAGAAGAAGCTTCGGAAGGAGAGACTACAGGTAAAATCACAGTGGTTTCTGATGCGGTCGGAATGCCGGGTGCAGCGGCGCTAGCACCTGTGACCCTGCACTTGGTCACAGATTCAAGGCTCGACTGGGCAACACCAAGACCCCATCTCAAGTCAAATAACAGAGGCAGGGAGGAAAAAAAAAACCAGAAAAATACAGTAACTAGAAAACAGCAGCAGACCTACACTCTAACAGTCACTTTCCTACCCAGGCATCTGTGTTGGCACAGAAGGCCCGAGGAAAGACTTGGGTTTCCGGTTTCTGAAGAAACCCTGCTATCCTGGCTGTGGGCTCCAATGCCGTGGGCATGAGGGGGGCGGAGCAGCTGAGCATGTGCCAAGAAAGGGCCTATCTGGCAGAGGAGGGCAGAGGAAGGGGCCTTACCACCAGAAGTTACCAATCCCTCCCAATAAACCCAAATTGTGGGGCAACCAGCGATTAGGGCAGACCCCTCATGGTTTAGTCACCTCCAGGTGACTTGATCAAATCCACAGCTGTGGCTTCAAGCTGTTGACACAAGAACCTTTTGGCTTCTTAAGCTTCATACCCAATCATAATATTAAATGTGAACGCTTTTCAAATATTGATCAGAAGACTAGTGCACCAAGCACAGTGACACGCCTGTAATCCCAGCACAAGGGTCAGGAATTTAAGGCCATTCTCAGCTGCACACGAGTTTGAGACCAGCTTGAGGAAGCCTTAAATAGACAATATAAACCACAATATACTGACAGTTTTGAAACACCAGAGAAAGGGGATAAGAAAGGGAATACAAGACCAGCAGGGTAGATTTTAAAATGTGATCCAGCAGGGCTGGAGAGGTGGGTAAGAGCCCTGGCTGCAGACACCCGAGTTCGGTTCCCAGCACCCACGTGGCGGCTCACAGGCAACTGTAAACCCCAGCTCCTCCAGAGCCAGGGTTCTCTCCTGGACACAGCACACACGCGGCGCACTTACGTGCAGGCAAACACTCATACGTGTTCAATTGTTTTCAGGAGTAATGTGACCCATAGAAGGCCACTTGCCCTGTGTGCATGCCCAAGGCCACGGTTGGGGGGGGCGTTAACCAGATGTCCCCCGGGAACTCATATCAAGTAACACTGGAGACAATATAAAGAGAGAGAGCTACCTAAGGAGGGTCAGGGACTAGAAGCTCTTGCCACCAAGGATGACAACCTGAGTTCAATCCCTGGAACCCAAATGCTGGGACAGAATGGGCTGTTGCACAAGTTGTCCTTCGACCTTCACAAGAAACCACATGTGCACCTACACGCACAATAAACAATCCTAAAGGTCTCTGAGCGTGGTGGCGCACGCCTTTAATCCCAACAGCGGGGAGGCAGAGGCAGGCGGATCTCTGTGAGTTCAAGGCCAGCCTGGTCTACAGAGCGAGTTCTAGAACAACCAGGGCTAACACACTGAGAAACCCTGTCTCAAAAAAACAAAAACCCTAAAGGTAGAGAAGATATGCTCATAAAGTAGACCTCAGAACAAATACAAGACAGAGTATCATTACAAAATGACAAAAGGTCACAGCATAGTAGGTGACACATGGGATGAAAACTGAAGAAAAAATTTTACAAACGGTCCATAAACACCGTGGACTGAGTACCTCCCAAATTCTGTGCTGACCTCCAAGCATGACACACAGGCAGTTTTCATGTGGCAAACTAGGGTTTTCGGGAGACAGAAACTGAAGTCCTGAGTCACTGGGTTTGTGGTTTATACAGGAGGGCTCTGGACCACGGCCTCCCGTCCTTTCCTCCCCGCCCCGTGTGCACAAACACGCAAGTGTCCCTACCAAGGAGAAAGTCCTCTGAGACCAGAGAGGGCGGCCACCTACGGCCCTGGAAAAGAGCCCTCACCACAAACTGGTCCCTCCTGGCCTTCGTCCCTGCATTCCCTCCCTCCACAACGATGAGAAATAAACTTCTATTGTTTAAGCCACCCGGTCTATGGCATTTACAACAAATACAAAAAAAAATAATAATAATAGTTAGAACCCTCCCTTCTGTGGGCTCCCACAATTGTAGATTGAATTTTGATTCCTGGGTGTGTGTGTGTGTGTGTGTGTGTGTGTGTGTGTGTGTGTGTGTGTGTGAATGCCATGTATATACACGCACCTGCAGAGACCAGAAGAAGGCTTTGGGTCCCCTGGAGCCGAAGTCACAGATGGTTGTAAGCCACCCAAAGGTGGGTGCCAGGAACCAGACCCTGGTCCTCTTAAAGAGCAGCAAAGCAAGCACTTTTAACTGATGAGCCCTCTCTCCAGCCCCTGAAAAGATGTTTAAAACGTGTTCATGTGTACGGACGCTTTGCCTGCACGTGTCTGCGCCATGTGCATGCTGCACCATGTTCATGTGTACGGACGCTTTGCCTGCATGTGTCTGCGCCATGTGCATGCTGCACCATGTTCATGTGTACGGACGCTTTGCCTGCACGTGTCTGCGCCATGTGCATACTGTGGCTGCAGAAGACGGACGAAGGCGCCAGATCCCCTGGAGCTGGAGTTGAGTGTTGGGAAGGCCGGGTGGTGGCGCACGCCTTTAGTCCCAGCGCTTGGGAGGCAGAGGGAGGCAGATCTCTGAGAGTTTGAGGCCAGCCTGGTCTACAGAGTTACACAGAGAAACCCTGTCTTGAAGGAAAACAAGTGTTGTGAGCACTGTACGGGTACTGGTCATCAGACTCCGGTCCTCTGGAAGAGCAGCCAATGCTCTCCGCAGCTGAGCCCTCTCTGCAGCCCTGTTTAATTATACAAAACCTAGATGTCTGCCACTCCCTAAGCAATACAGTACAGTTATTGGCATACCGTTCACCAAGAGGTCTTTGTATGTAACAACCACTTAAAGTGCACGGAAGGATCTGGGTAGGTTATGTGCAGTTCTAATGCCACTTCATATATGGGCTCATACAAACTTGTGAGTTTTGTTATTTGCAAGGGGTTCCTGGAATCTCTTGCCAATACTACAGGACAACTATATAGCTAGTGACTCCCATGTCCCTTTATCAGCCACTGATCAAAGTAGGCAGGGGGAAACAGGGTGTTGTAAACTTCTGGACTAACTACCAGGCTTGCTCAGACATGTGTCAATGCTCCAACCAACAAGGACAGAGTATGCATTCCGTCCCAAGTGCCCATGAGCCACACACCAAAAGGGAGTGAATTCTGGGGGGCCGCAGGACACGCCTTCACAAATTTAGAAGATTTAAAATTATATAGATTGGGACTGGAGAGATGGCTCAGAGGTCAAGAGCACTGACTGCTCTTCCAGAGGTCCTGAGTTCAGTTCCCAGCAGCCACATGGTGGCTCACAGCCGTCCGTAACAAGATCCGACGCCCTCCTGTCTGATGTATGCAAATAGAGCACTCACACAAAGAAGTGACACAAACTTAAAAGGAAAAAGAAAAATATCAAAGAGTTCCCACACATACATGAAGGTGTGCCTAATTCAGCAAAACCATAGGAAACAGGATTGACCGGCCTGTCTCCACACGTGACCCACGGGGCAGAAGTCACAAAATTCCACTTAAAGGAGAAACACTTTGGGACATGCGATACCCATACTTCAAAACTGTAAAACATAGCCGGGCGGTGGTGGCGTACTCCTTTAATCCCAGCACTTGGGAGGCTGAGGCAGGCAGATCTCATGAGTTCAAGGCCAGCCTGGTCTACAGAGTGAGTTCCAGGTCAAGCTCCAAAGCTACACAGAGAAACCCTGTCTTGGGGGAAAAAAAAAAGGTTCCCATCTCCACATGGACAAACAAGAAAAAAAATCTTAGAACTTCTGTGTTGGTTACTATAGACTTTAACTGCGAAATAGAGCAGGGCTCTCACGGGCCACTGCCTGGGCAGTGCTCACAGAGCCCTCCTTTCCAGATGTGGACTTCTGGAAACGGAACGGAGCTGAGCCTGTGTATTCCCTGAGGCCACCCCAAGCTGAGGCTCTGCAGTTACAAGACTGAGGATGACTTCGAGGGATCTATGTGGGGTCGCTCTGTTGACCACACTGCCGCCTATCTAAGAAGGCTCCCAGTGAGAAGCACGTCCCCGGGACACTCCCACCGCAGCTACCCACACTGGCAGAGCAAGGAGACTCGGAGTCACCTCTGTTGTGAGGGGTGGGTGTTCTAGACCTGCCTGTCCCAGCCTGAACTAGAGATAACCTAAGGGAGTGAGAGCCGGGAACGCCAGGGCCCGCTGGCTACGGGCAGGCGGGTGCGGCTTGTGGCCAACAGCTTCCCATTTTCCTGCAGTGCCTGCCCTGCGGGATGCTGCGGAAGGGGCTCCTGCTGTCCCTGACTCCCTGCTGGGGCACCTGAGACCCCCGGAGGAATCTAGCCCTGGGTGAATTTGCTTTCACAGTGTCCTCTCCTGGCTGGCTGAGCAACGTGAAGTCTCCGGGAAAGCGCTTCTTTCTCCTCGGAGACTCAGTCAGGTGCTTTACCCTGAGCTGACCCTAAGATGAACTCCAGGCACCCTGGCTGTCGTTGGTGACACTGCAGGCCGTGCAGCACAGGGCCCAGCCTCTGCTACGTCCTCACAGGAAGAATGGCAGCAGCCTGCTTGCCCTTCAGGTCACACATTTATTGGGGAGCAGGTGTGGGCTAGTTGGTGGTTGCTTGCACGCTTGACCCGTCAGCCCAGGTGTGCTGGCTGTGGGGGCGGGGGTGGGGGGCTCACTGCCCTGCTGGTCACCAGTGGCTGTCACTGCAGGAAGATGGGTCTTCTTCCTGGGCCCAAGGTGCCAGGCTCCGAGCTCCTGCTGTCAGAGACTCTCCACCCTGACGTGGCATGGGGAGATGAGGGGCTTTAAGATCTCTGTGTAGTAGGGGCCGAACACCTGCTGATTGTGCTGCGTGAGGCTCACAAACATTTGGCCCAGCTCTGCCAGCTCTGCTTCGATGAGAGCCAGGCCTCCAGGGAGGTCCACCAGGGATCGCTGCACGCCAAGAACCAGGCAGCATTTGAGGAACAAGTGGATACGCTGATCTGTGGGCAGGAAGAGAAGGAAAGGGCAGCTAGACCCGCTACTCAGCCACAGAGAAGGGGCCCGAATGGCTTGGGGGACAACTGCCTGGTTCTCACAGGTACTAGGTTACTGAGCTTCTAAGTACTCAAGACTGCTTAGCATCAGGGTGTGGCTCATACCCGTAATCCCAGAACACAGAGGCGGGGGTGGGGTATCACAAATAAGGCCAGCCTGAGATACATCTTGTGTCCAGGCCAACCTGGGCTACCATGTTAGGTCTAGAGGGTTTGACGGTAGACAAGAAATTGTCAACTGATTCCTCCAAATGGGGCTGGGGTCCACACTACAGACAACCGCTCTCTAACCCAAGCCAGCAGGTTTCCACTGGAGGGAGGGTGTGGATGCCCCCCCCAACACACACACAGACTCCTCAGTAGCCTTGAGTGACTTAACCAGGTTGTGGGGGACAGGATTCCTGGGTACAGGAAAGGACTGAAGTCTCAACCTGGAAACGCCCACATCCATGGCTGGGGCCCCTCCCTCCAGCATCGGCGGCGCCCACGCGCGGGCACGCTCACCAATGACATTGCGGACACAGTTCTCCTTCTTGGCGATGTTCTGGAGCTGTCCTATCAGAGACGCTGTGTTGTCGCTGGTCAGAGGGGCGAGGCCCATGCTCTTGAGACCCTGGTGGATCTCCTGGGTCACCTGCTCACTCACCGTGCACATGGTCTCCTCGGGCCTAGACCACAACAGAGGTGAGCTGTCACCCAGTAGGTACCACGGGGCCAGGGGCTGACCCCAGGCCCCTCCCTCAGTGCTCCCTCACCTTCTTCTGTCTCACTGAACCTTGTCAGCGCATCCGCGGACTAGGCCGGCTGACCCTGAATGCACCCCACCCCCCAACGTGGCTGGGTGGCTCCCCATGTCCCGATTCCGTTTGTCTTTTTGGAGACAGGGTTTCTCTTGTAGACCAGGCTGGCCTCCAGCTCACCGAGACCCTCCTGCCTCTGCCTCCCGAGTGCTGGGGTTAAAGGTGTGCGCCACCACCGCCACCAGCTCATGCCTGGCTTTTTCCCTAGAGCTCCTGTTGGGGATACGCCAGGTCCTCATGCTGGCTCAGCACCTTACCTTACCAGCTGAGCTGTTTCCCCAATTCCTCCATCCTAACCCTTTAAAAAAAAAAAAAGATGCCTGCAGCTCACCTGGAGTTAAATTCCTCCACCAGGGTCTTTGTTATTCGCTTCAGTTTATCCACAAACTGGGGCGAGCCAAACAGAACGCTGCCAGAGAAGCTACTGGCCACCAGCAGGACGGAGGCCAGGATGGTGAGATGGTTCCGCTGCAGCTCCAGCTCCTGCAGCCGGGTTCTGTCAGGCAGCAGGGTCTGAGGAGGAAGAAAAGCCATCAGACGGGGGCGGCCAAAGCACAAAAAGCTAAGACAAGGAAATGTCCCCATTCCCACCTCGGGAAAGTCTTCGCTGTCTGCGTCCCAGAGGAGAAGGTTCAGGAAGCCCTGGGACAGCACCATTGCGGGGCTGAGCGGCTCCTGGGCAGGAATGTCACTCGGGCCAGGCCCACTCGAGGAGTCCGGGGAGGCAGGGCCACTTGCGGGAGGAGTGATGAGGTCTGTGGCAGCCTGGGTCAGCCACTTGGTGGTGCTGTCCAGGAGGCCTACGACGAGAGGGCCGTGCAAGCGCCTTCAGTCCCCGGCCTCGGGTCACGGTTCTCTTCAGCCAGTGCCCTTGGTTCGTGTGGGGCTGAGGTGTGAGCATCGCCGCCAGTTTGGGGCTAGCCTGAGCTACACAATGAGCTCCAGAATAGCCAAGGCTAAAGAGTGTGAGACCCAATCTCAAAGCACTAAATCAACTACATTAAATGGCTAATCTGGGGCTGGAGAGATGGCTCGGCGGTTAAGAAGAGCACTGATTGTTCTTCCAGAGGTCCTGAGTTCAATTCCCGGCAACCACATGGTGGCTCACAACCACCTTGAATGAGATCTGGTGCCCTCTTCTGGCCTGCAGGCAGAAGACTGTATGCACAATAAATAAATAAAATATTTATAAATAAATAAATAGTTAGTCTGCCTTCTCCCTCCCTGTGTACAGAGAAACCACCTTCTTCCTATGAGGCAGAATACCCCGTTCATGAGTGTCAGCTTCGAGCCCGTGGCCTGGCCTCATACGTACTAGGCTCCTTGTTGAGACGCTCCTGGAACTGGGCCCGCTCAAATTGGATGGAGTGCTCCTGCAGCTGGGGCTGCAGGCTCTGGATGGTATAGTTCACCATGTCCATTTTCATCAGTCCCAGCACCTGGAAGATGCCCCTAATGCGGGAGAGAATAACTGTGCCACCATAGGGACCTCAAGGGAGGGAAGCCAGAAGGGTGGCCGAGGCCCCGGGCTCTCCAGTCTCCTCCACGCATGGAGGGACGGGCAGCCGAGACCAAGGCCCACAGTGAGTGGGCAGCACCCGGGAAAGAGCCACGCCCCTCTCCAGGCCCTCGATGCCCAGAGCTGGGCATGGCGGGGCACAGCAAAGGGCCCGCCACTGAGGGGGCCCAAGAGAGACAGACGCACTGGGAGCTCAAACCCCGCAAGGGCTACAGGGTAAGAGCCTATGGCAGAAACAAACACACCAGCACACTAAAACGGCAGCGTACTAAGCAACGCCACTCTCCGCTCAGCTCGCGAGGGGTGGTGTGTGTTTGAGTTTTAACTTGATGAGCGCACTTCCTAAACGCCACGCATCCACACATCAGAGGAGACGCGCCTCTGTCCCCCCTACAGTGTGTGAACTGAGGCCAGAGGAAAGTTGGGAGGAGACGTTTTTCATGCCTTGGAATTCTGTCTACTGCTGTGTCAGACAAAGGTCCTGTCAAACTAAGCATGACCCAAAGGTCCACTCTGGAAATGTGAACGCCAACAGGCCATGGAGGAGCAGGGTGTCATCTTCAGGAGGGAGACAAGTCCCAGTATCTATCTGTCAGCCCTGCCCAGCTCAGGCCCTGGGGCACGTCAGCTGACCGATAACCGAGTGTCACACACCTCAGCAGCCGCACGGGATCCGTGATGCTCTCCAGTTTCTGCACAGCTTCGTCTCGGACGGGCGCGCACAGCAAGACCATCGTGTTGAGAATGTACTTAGAGAGGTAGGTGACGTTCAAGTCCCCGCGCTCAGCTTGCTGATGGAGGAAGTCCATGTCCAGGGCTTCTTCGATCTCACTTTTTAGGCGGCTCTGACGGGGTAGCAGCAGCGACAACAGGATCTGCCAGGCAAGTCAGAGAGCACGTTGTCCCCGTGTCCAACCCTCTGCACACACCAGCCTGTGTCTTTTTAGAATCAGGGAGTTGCTGCAGACACCTTCTACGGAGCATTATCTTAGCTAGGGATAAGTCAGTTACAGAGTCAGATAAAGAGGTTGGCAAGGCCCAGGACCTCACGGAGCGCCCGCCCGGACACAGGCAGGGCGGGGCCGAGAGCACCGCGGTTCAGTTCCCAGGGCTCACTCACACGGCGCTCAGAGTCATCCGGAACTCCAGGCCAGGGGCTCTGGCCTCCCTGGCCTCTGCAAGCACAGGGCGCACTCAGGCAAACACCCCCACACAAAATACTTCTATTAACTAGCTTGTCGTGTTTTTTCCCGACACAGGGTTTCTCTGTGTAGCCCTGGCTGTCCTGAAACTTGCTCTGTAGACCAGGCTGGCCTCCAACTCAGAGATCTGCCTACCTCTGCCTCCTGAGAGCTGGAAATAAAAACAAATCTTATTTTAAAAAGAACCAGAAAATGTACTCTTAAGGTTTTTTAAAAAATTATTTCAGAGGGAGAAGACAGAGATGGGAAGAGCAGGAATGGGGTCCCTGACCTCCAAACGTGTGACCTCCTGGTGACTGGCCCTTATTTATCCCCATGTCCCCGCCCCCGCCCCTCCCCACACGACTCATGGAGTAAGAACGGAACCCTGACTATCCAGCTGAATCAAATGCTCTGTTGTCTCTGCCGAACCCAGCTGCCAGCGCCATGTGGTTCAAGACACCTGTTCCAGCTGGTAAACCTTCAGAGTCACCAACTCAGAGCTTCCTTGTTTCCAATCTGCCCTTCAGCGGCTGTCCTGGGAAGACAAGGGTGCCTCCCCAACAGACCCTCTCTCTCTCTCTCTCTCTCTCTCTCTCTCTTTCTCTCTCTTGCACACACAGTGTCTCCAAACACCACCACAAATAAAGCCCATTATTGACCTTTTTTTGACTTTGCAGGCAGGGTACACAACACAGCTCGATGCTGATGCTGTAGCTCACTCAGGACTGATGGGGGAAGTCCCATATGTGTGCTTATCTTATTGGTTGTTGGATAAAGCTCTGCTGGCCGATAGGACTTCCCCCATCATAGGCTTTCTATCTGATGCTCCAGGATTCTTCAGACGTTTTTACTGTTAGCCAGACTCCCCCCCCCCGTCATCTTACAGGAAGGCACTCACTCACCTCCTTGACCTCCTTGAGGAGTTCCAGAGCACAGCTGAAGTCAGGGGGCACAGATGACAGCTGCTCTTTCAGGTGGTCCCAGAAGTCACTGGGCATCGTCTCCTTGCCCTTGCCTTCCAGGCTACGAGAGGCCAAACACACACATCACTCACTGCAGGAGAAACTGTCCCGGCTCACAATCTCATCCCCAAAGAAAAAATGCCAGGAGCAATGGAGGGAGCACAGCAGGGAAGACTCACTGAAGGCTAGGTGTGACTTCAAGACGGCACCCTCAAAGGCAGAAACAAGTATAGCCCTGAGAGGAGCAGCGAGTCTGTGTGTGTGTGTGTGTGTGTGTGTGTGTGTGGTGTGTACTGTCACACAACACTGACTTTATTAATAATTGTGGTGGCCGGCTGGAGAGATGGCTCAGAGGTTAAGAGCACTGGTTGTTCTTCCAAAGGTCCTGAGTTCAATTCCCAGCAACCACATGGTGGCTCAAAACCATCTGTACTGACATCTGGCACCCCCTTCTGGACTGCAGGTGTATGTGCAGACAGAATACTACATCATAAATCTAAAAACAATTAATTGTGGTGGCACTATTAGGAGGTGTGGCTTTGTTGGAATAAGCGTGGTCTTTTGGAGGAAGCATGCCACTGTGGGGGTGAGTGGGCTTTGAGGTTTCCTCTGCTCAAGCTTTTACTCAGCAGGACACTCAGGCCACTTCTGGTTTCCTGCAGATCAAACATGTGGGACTCTCAGCTCGCTCAACATGTCTGTCTGCATGCTGCCATGTTATACCATGACGACAATGGGTGAACCTTTGAAACTGTGAGTCACCGCAATTAAATGTTTTTCCTTTGTAAGAGTTGCCGTGGTCATGGTGTCTCTCCACATCAATGGTCATCCTAACTAAGATGCTCTTACTTATTTACTGATTGGGAAGGGGCACATGTGGGTCCCAGGAATTCAGCTTGGGTTGTCAGAGTCATCAACGTCTCCTGCCCACATGAGTCACACTAAGTAATAATGTCAGGAAGTCAATTAGAGAAAATACAAAAGCCAACACCTGCTTGATGATAAACCCTTCTCTTGCGAGTGGCAATCAACCTTGGAAACTTCGTGACCTCTCTCCATCAAACCTGTAATTGAAAGAACTTCTGGTGGAGCCGGGTGGTGGTGGCGGCGGCGACGCATGCCTTTAATCCCCACACCTGCAAGCAGAGGCAGGTGGATCTCTGTGAGTTGAGGCCGTCCTGGTCCACAGAGTGAGTTCCAGGACAGCCAGGGTAACTCAGAGAAACCCTGTCTGAAAAATTAAATTAAAACAAACAACCCCCACACACAAAACTACAAAGAAACAGCTTGTGGTTTGCACAAACAAACAAACAGACACACAATTGTTTATTGAGCAGGTTTTCTTCTTGCCTCTAGAGCCCCGGCAGAGCCTGTCCTCCCTAGAGGTAACACACGGACATTCGTGGAGAACACTAACATTATTTGGTTTTCGAAGACAGTAGTTCCCTGATCTTTGGGATTTCACAGACTAGTAAAATTTCCAAGATTTTAAGATTAAAGATCTCAACTTGCCAGTTATTAGTGTTGTCAAGTATGGACAAGAAATTCTACTCTAGGACTACCCAGACCCAGTTCTATAACTAATGAATCAGGGGAATGGAAAACAGGGTCTCGTGGTGCTGATTGCACAACTTTTGTAAATGTATGTATTTTAAAATGGTTACTCTTGCACAGCGGTGTGTGCAAAGGACAGTTGTGGGGTCGGGTCTCGCCTCCCACACTCCCCGGGTGCCTGAGATTCGGCTCAGACTTGTATCGAGGGCTCAACCGCTGAGCTGTCTCACTGGCCTGGAAAGGTAGAATTTTTCTATATTAACAGATTAAGAGCCGGGCGGTGGTGGCGCACGCCTTTGATCCCAGCACTGGGGAGGCAGAGGCAGGCGGATCTCTGTGAGTTAAGACCAGTCTGGTCTACTGAGCGAGTTCCAGGACAGCCTCCAAAACCCAATATCCGAAATCTTAAAAAGGAATCTGCTTAGACCCTCGGGAGTTATTTTACCGATGGCGTTAACCATCTCAAACGATGTTTGCAAACTTCCACCAAACCCCAACTGTCCTGACCACCACCAGCCCCAGCGTGCGGATGAACAAACCCTGTTACACCTGGGTCCTGCTTCAAACTCATTTTGTTGATCAGCAGCGACCCCGCGTGGCCACGGCAACCTGGGCGCGTGCGTGCGAGCGAGCGGTGCACGCCCTCGGGGACCCCGCCGCAGCGGATGCCCCGAGCTCGGGGCTAAGGGACACGAGGACGGCGGTCGACAGTTGAACCTACGTGATCGGTGGCCCTGGGCGCTGCTCGTGTCCTCCCGGGTGTGTCCCGTGTGGGGCTCACGGGGGGGCGCCGTCTGCCGTGCTGGTCCCCTTCCGAGCCGCCCTCTCCTTCACGTCTGGCATCCTGGTGGTGCTGGTGTCTGGGTGGGCGACAAACGTTGGAAACCGCTCAAGGCCGGGGGGGAACCGGCGCTGGCAGGGGGAGCAAACCGCAAGGCGAGCCCTCCGCCGCGCTGGGTCAGCGCCCCTTTCCCTTCACCCCACGTCCCTCTCCACTGACCCTCGCCTCTCCCCCCCACCTCTCCTACCCAGCCCTTCCCCTTTTATCTCCCCTCCCCTTCCCCTCCTCCTCTTGTCCTTCCCTACCCGTCCACACTATCCCCTGCTGTCCCTCCCCTTCCCCTGCTGTCCCTCCCCTTCCCACCTGTCCCTCCCCTTCCCCTGCTCGCCTTCCCCTGCACCCCCTTGCTCCCCCATCGCCCCGCTGCCTTCACCACCTCCTCCGCCGGCCCGCCCACTCTGGCTGGTTCTCCGGCGCCGGGCAGGCAGGGCGGCTCGGGCTAAACCACCTGGGAGAGCGGGGCAGGGGCGGGGCCTTGGAGATGGGCGGAGCCACTGAGCCCCCGGTTGGGCGGTCACGCGCACCTCCCACCCGCGGCCGTGGTCCCGCTGGGGACCTGGAAACAAACCGCCTAGGTGTCCTGGCAACGCGCACGTGCGCGGCCCTCCCCCTCCCGCGCGGCTCGAGCCTCGCCACCGGCCACGGGCCACCTGCGGCCACTCTTGCCGAGCACCGAGGAGGGGAGCGGGCCTTGAACTTCAGACCCCCTGGGGTCACCGGTGTGAACCACCGTGAAGGGTTCGTGTGCTGGGGATGGAAGGGGCCTCGCACTCCACTGACTGAACTCAGGGTCCTAGTTGCGGGCTGGAGAGATGGCTCAGCGGTTAGAGGACCACAGTTGAGTCCCATCTGAGCACAGCCACCTGTAACTCCAGTGTCAGGGCATCCGACGCCCTCTTCTGACCTCCTGGGGGCACTGCGTGCCTGTGGTGCACTTACACAAACGCAGGCAAGACACCCCTGCGCATAGATTATAGAAGCTTTTTTGTTTTGCTTTTTGAGGCAGGGTTTCTCTGTGTAGCCTTAGCTGTTGTGAAGCTCGCTCTGTAGACTGGGCTGTCCTTAAACTCAGAGATCCTCCTGCCTCTGCCTCCAGAGTGCTGGGATTAAAGGCACGTGCTAGCCCCTGCCCCACCCCCAGTTAGGGCTGTAGCTTGTCTGGTTGCCCTGGGTTCGCTTCTCGGCATAGCTTAAACCAGGCGTGGTGACACATGCCTGTAATCCCAACATTCAGGGTGTGCAGGCAGGAAGGCTAATTGTGAGCTCCTTGGCAGCCTGGGACAAGTGAGATCCTGTGTGCCTCGCAAAGAGAAATGAGCTTAAAGGGAAGGAAAGGAGAAACCGCAGGCTCTGGTCGCTGGCCAACTCCCAGTCCCCGTGCAGAGAGCCCCACATCAGCCCGAAGAACCTCTGTCTGCAGTTCTTGCCTTGTTAATGCCGAGTGTGAATTTCATGAACAGCTCATAGTGTTGAGGCAGAAAACTGTGAAGAGAAAGGAAGGTTTCACTCTAAAAGCCCATGATTCTGGGACTCCAGAACAGAGTATCACCAGCCATCCAAACTGTCCCTGACATACATTAAATGACATCTCCCTCCAGCTCTCCACTGTGAGGCAGCCTGGCCTCAGACCTGTCAAGAGTGGACGGAAGCTGCACTGTGACGTCACACTGTTTCACTGTCACATAATGAGGTACTGTTGACCTCTCTTAACGGAACACGCAAGGCCTGGAAAGATGCCACCCAAAGGGCAGCTCACAGATACGATGCCCTCTTATGCCTCTAAGGGCTCTTACATGCACCCAGCACACAAACTCACACAGACACACACACAGCACACAAACTCACACAGGCACACACACACACACACACAGCACACATAAACTCACACAGGCACACACACAGCACACATAAACTCATACAGGCACACACATAGCACACATAAACTCACACAGGCACACACAGCACACAGCACACATAAACACACAGGCACACACACAGCACACATAAACTCACACACACACAGCACACATAAACTCACACAGCACACAAGCTCATACAGGCACACACACACAGCACACATAAACACACACACACAGCACACATAAACTCACACAGCACACATAAACTCACACAGCACACACACAGCACACATAAACTCACACAGGCATGTACACACACATACACACAAATAGCACATAGAGACTGGAGAGATAGTTCAACTGTTAAGACACTGGGACCACCGGGGAGTTCCCAGCACTCACATAGTGGGTGACAAACGTCTGTAACTCCAGTTCCAGGTTATCTGGTACCCTCTTCTGGCCTCTGTGAGCCTTAGGCATATACTTGATATACACACATACGTATACATATGCAGACAAGACACCAAAATCTTTTTAAATTTAAAAATTCTTTTTGTTTTGTTTTTCAGATAGGGTTTCTCTGTGTAGCTCTGGCTGTCCTGGAACTCACTCTGTAGACCAGGCTAGCCTCAAACCCAGATCCGCCTGCCTCTGCCTCTCCACTGCTGGGATTAAAGGCGTGCGCCACCACACCACATCAAAAAAGTAATCCCTGAAAGAAAAATTCATAATTCCATTTGGGTATTTAAATGTCTGGGAGAAAAAATTTAAATAATATCACCCCCCCATAAGAATAGCATTGCTATAAAGATTTCCCTAGATGCCTAACTCTCCTAGGAATTCCTTTTTTACTCATGAAATAGCTCTCCTTAATATCTAAATTCAATCCCAGGACTCCTATCATGGAAGGACGGGCACAAGCTATAGACGGACACATTCATACACATACACACAAATAAGGTAAATGTCATTAAAAGTTTTAGAATCGAACTTCTCCTGGAGGGCTGTGGGGAGAAAGCAGTGTGGGCACTGGGAGGGGGGAGGGGCTGCCGAGGGGAGGGGCTGCCGGGGGAGGGGCTGAAGCTACAAGAATCGCCCTATAGGGTCAGGCATGGGGCAGATTCCATGATCCGTATCATTAGTGGTTCTCAGAACTAACCAGGCAAGAGTCGAGGGGCTAGAACTATGAGATGAGATAGGCCTCCTTCCCTTCGGGCTTTCGTTAATAGCTGACTTGTCCATTAATGGTTTACTGGGTGCGTCTACATTCCAAACGCATACGACCGTCACGTGCAAATAGGCAAAAGTGGGCGTTGCGTTGGACTGTCCCCAGGTAGGAGGTAAGATGACAGTGATTTCAGAGGGTGACCAAAGGCGTGGGTTGGGCAAGGTCTTGACTTTTTTTTTTTAATTAGTTGAGACAGGGTTTCTCTGTGATATCCTTCGATGTCCTGGATCTCGCTCTGTAGACCAGGCTGGCCTCAAACTCACAGAGATCCGCCTGCGTCTGCCTCACAAGCGCTGGGATTAAGGTGTGCGTCACCACTGCCCACCAAAGGTCTTGATCACAGGCCTCTATGAATTCACACTGCCTGACTCTGAGAAACCGTCTACCCATGAGGAGACCTAACACACAGTGGCTTGGTGAACTCTTCAGTAGGGATACAAGAGAAGTGCGACCCAGAGAAATGAACTGGGTGTCCCAGATGATCGGGTCAGGTCAATTTTAGCCTTTGTCTGGGATTCCAAGCATATACGACTTCCTGTAAGGCCTTTGAAGCTGTCTGCCTAGCTCGTCCTCCTCCTCCTCCTCAGGCCATCTTTAAACTCTCGAATGGTGACCGGATTCTCCCTACCAGTCAGCGGGGACCACCCCCTCCTTGCTCCCTGTTAAAGTACCGAAACCTCAGAGACAGGGGAGGCGTTGGTACATGCAGCCTACCGTAGCAAGTAAAAGTGATGCTTGCCCTCACGCTCAAGCGTGCCCACAGCTGTCCCGCCCAAAGCTCACCTGACTGAGGCGGGGCCTCCTTCGTAGTTCAGCCTCGGGAGGAACTCACTCGATAGGCCCAGGCCGGCCTCACACCTATGATCCTCCTGCCTCAGCCTCTGAGTGGTTAGGGCTGCAGCCATGCATGTGCCGTTTCTCCTGGCTCCAGGCTTCACTTTGTATACACGACGCCATTTTATATTTATCTTCTAGCCGTAAGATCTCTGGTTGGTTTTGTTTGCTGAGACCGAGTCTTCCTCTGTAGCCCTGGCTGGCCTCACACCCCGTATGTAGCCCAGGTTTCCTCTTACCTCTGCCTCCCACGTTGTGAGGTTACGGGTGTGCGACACCACACCTGCCCTCCACGAGCACTGCGACCCTCCAGCCCAACTTGCCTCAGAATTGCTGTCCTGGGAGGAAGGTCTAACCTGTGCTAGTTTGAGAGCCTCTGTGTCTCCATGTCCCCACACCCCAGCCTGAGAGATAGGCTATGGACGTGCAGGGCCCACCTCAGCCCGCCGGTTCATACCCACAATCCCAGGACTTGGGAAGTAGGAGCAGGAGGACCAGAAGTTCACGAGGCCAGCCCGGGTCACAGGAGAACCTGTTGCAGAAAGAGAAAGAGAGAGAGAGAGAGAGAGAGAGAGAGAGAGAGAGAGGGAGGGAGGGAGGGAGGGAGGGAGGGAGGGAGGGAGGGAGGGAGGGAGGGAGGGAGAGGGAGAGTGGAGAGAGAGGAGAGAGAGGAGAGAGAGAGGGAGAGAGGAGAGAGAGAGAGGAGAGAGAAGAGAGAGAGGGGGGAGAGAGAGGGAGAGAGGAGAGAGGGGAGAGAGAGAGGGAGAGAGAGAGAGAGAGGAGAGAGAAGAGAGAGAGGATGAGAGAGAGAGAGAGAGAGAGAGAGAGAGAGAGAGAGAGAGAGAGAGAGAGAGGGAGAGAGAGTGGAGAGAGAGAGAGGAGAGAGAGGAGAGAGAGGAGAGAGAGAGAGAGAGAAGAGAGAGAGAGAGGAGAGAGAGTGGAGAGAGAGAGGAGAGAGAGGGGGAGAGAGAGTGGAGAGAGAGAGAGGAGAGAGAGAGGGAGAGAGAGGAGAGAGTGGAGAGAGAGAGGAGAGAGAGAGAGAGAGAGAGAGAGAGAGAGAGAGAGAGAGAGAGAGAGAGAGAGAGAGAGAGACAGAGAGAGAGAGAGAGAGAGAGAGAGAGAGAGAGAGAGAGAGAGAGAGAGAGAGAGAGAGAGAGAGAGAGAGAGAGAGAGAGAGAGAGAGAGAGAGAGAGAGAGAGAGAGGGAGGGAGGGAGGGAGACAGGGGCTGGGGGCAGAGGGAGAAAGAGATGAAGATCAGTGACAGGTAGGTGCAGCTACCCTCCAGTGTCTCAGCCACCCCCACAGGGCGAGGCTGCGCGTCAGCCCAGGAGTTAGCGCCTCCTCTCCTTGTAAACACGAGCTTGCCCGCACTGCCTCTCTCGGAGGCAAAGCACCCGAAGGCTAGTCGTACACACAAAGGTGTTGCGGGAAAACAAAGCAAGGACGGTCAAGAAACAACCCTACGCGGGACACAGAAGTTCAGATTTCAAAAGAAATCCTCAGTGCAGACGGGGAAGCTAAAGCCATACAGAAACCATCTAATTTTACCCAAGCGGTCCTGGGCTCGGGAGGCTAAATGACTGGGTTAGGGTCGCCACCGGTTTATGGAAACTCTGAGAGAACAGCCCATAGCCCGGTCTGTTTACTGTGTGATGTACAGCTTTGCAAGGAGTAAAGGCTAACGCCGTAAATAAATATTTACATCCCTGAAGGGAAAACATGTAAATGATAGTGCACAGGATGGAAGAAGTAAGGGCTGGAGCTGGAGGCCAAGCCCGTCAAGCCCTCTGGAAGATAAACAGCCATCTAAAGTGGGTAGGGACTCTAAACACAGGGCGGGGCATTGGGATGGAACCAGGCTACACTGGGACCTCTCTCAGCACACAGAACCGCACGTCCAAACTGTTTGTTTTAGTCTCTTGACAGATGTGTGTCTTTCCACAGACGCCCCCCCCCCCAAGATTATGAGAAAGGCTGAGGAAATCTGGGCGTGGCCTGGAGGTCGTCCCTAAGAGTCAAAGGGAAGGTGATGAAGTGTGTAGGCAGCCTTTGGAGGAGGCTCAGAGCACAGGACAAAGAAGGTTCTGGAGCTAGCAATGCCTGTCTACCTACCCCAGGGCCTTGCCTCTAGTACGCTTCCCCAGCTCCCTCACCCTGTGAGCCTCGCCTCACCCCGTGGGCCTCACCCCTCAGAGCAGCTCCTCACCCTGTGGGCCTCACCCCTCAGAGCAGCTCCTGGGCCTGATGTTGGGTTTTGCTTACACATTGTACCTTTTCTCTAGAGTAGCCGTGTGTGTGTGCGTGCGCGAGTGTGTGGTGTGAGTGTGCGCTCGCATGTGAGTGTGAGTGTGTTGCGTTTGTGCGCGCATGTGTGTGCATCTGGGCGTGTGTGCGTGCGTGTGTGCGTGCGTGCGTGTGTGCATGTGTGTGTGGTGTGTGTGTGCGTGTGCGTGCGTGTGTGTGTGTGTGTGTGTGTGTGTGTGTAGCAGAAGTGCAGTGGGCCCCGCCACACTGAGGCCCCTCGACCAGAAGGGGGCAGCAGAGGGCAACGATAAAGTCACAGGGGAGCTTGAGACCTCCCTCCTCCCCGCTCCTCCCTCCCTCTTCCCCCTCCCTTCTCCCCCGGTGACTCAGGCTCGGCAGCAGCCACAAACACCAACTTGAAAAGTTCTCTTAGCTGTGTCCCCAAAACAATTGCTCCTTGTGCCCGGGACACGGGCGCGAGTCACACACTTAAG